TGTTAGGGCGGTGGCCTCAGACGAGTCACTTAATACTTTTGAACCTTGTTTTCTCTTTTATAAAATAAAGAAAATAGAGTCTACTAGGATGAATTGTTTTTAGGGTTTAAGATTATAATTTACAACTATGTGAATAATTTATAACTATTTTGTAATTGAGATTATAATTTATAATTGTGTGAATAATTTATAGCTATTTCTCTAGGAGCAATGGATCCATGTTCCTTAATTTGGTGTTTGCAGTGACTTTATAGAATGTAACTACGGTAAATAACAACAATGAATTGTATAGCACTGGGCAAGCTCCACACCGGGCTGGTGATAAGCCCGTATCAGCTGAGGTTTGCCTGCACTATATAAGGATTGTCAAATAGATTTTATGATGGGTATGAAGTATCATTAAAAAAACAAACAAACACAAAATCCTTGCCCTTGAATAAGAAATTCAGTAGCTGGGGGTGGGTGGGGGAGAGCTGGGTTCAACAATAAAACAAAAACAAAGCAAGGTAGAAAATAAATAGGTAATATTTTTTTAAAAGACATTCATTGACTATGTAAAGTTATAAGTCAGAAACTTTTTGTTGGTTCCCACCTCCCCATCCATCATATATTTGTTGAACACATACCACATTCCAACCTGCATTAGAGACATTTTTTTCTTAATATGACTTACTCCTTTAAAATATCGTAACTACTTAGGAGCAAAAACTCTCAATTGTACTCTCATGATATTTAGCACAATAGCTTATATATTGTAGATACCCAATAAATGTTTGTTGAGTGACTAGAAGATTGGATGAATGTGCCACCTACTATGATTATCTAATGTTCTAGAAAGTTCTCTCTACTCTCTCCAGCATCATCTCTTTGATCTGGGTTACTCAGGAACAAACTAGTTCCAGCTATTATGATGAATTAATGCAAGTGAAATAATATACTACTATCTATATGCCTTTTAAAATATTATTTATTTTGTATTTTGTTTTTCTCAGTGGGACCACACATGCTTCAACCCAAAGGGAGAAATTTTTTTGAACTAGCATCTGTACTAACTGCAATGTCTGATGGAGCTAGTCCTGTATGATTTGATAGGCTCATCTACTTGTTTGGCCTGCTGAATAAGGCTTTCTGATCGTGTTATTTTAATGTATTTATTATAAAATATTTCAAACACATGGAAAAATACAGAGAATTGCATAACAAAGGTGTAGGTGTGTGTGTGTGTGTCACCTAACACTGTCAAATCTTAGGGCGCCTGGGTGGCTCAGTCAGTTAAGCATCTGCCTTCGGCTCAGGTCATGATCCCAGGGTCCTGGGATCAAGCCCCGCATCAGGCTCCCTGCTCCGCGGAAGCCTGCTCTTCCTCTCCCACTCCCGCTGCTTGTGTTTCCTCTCTGTCTCTCTATCAAATAAATAAATAAAATCTTAAAAAAAAAAAAAGTTCCTCAGAACATTCAGAATAATGTATTAATCCTAAAGAAACCTAATTCAGGGGCGCCTGGATGGCTCAGTCGTTAAGCGTCTGCCTTCCGCTCAGGTCATGATCCCAGGGTCCTGGGATCGAGCCCCGCATCGGGCTCCCTGCTCCGCGGGAAGCCTGCTTCTCCCTCTCCCACTCCCCCTGCTTGTGTCCCTGCTCTCGCTGTGTCTCTCTCTGTCAAATAAATAAATAATCTTAAAAAAAAGAAAAAAAAATTCTTTGGGGCACCTGGGTGGTTCAGTCATTAAGCGTCTGCCTTCGGCTCAGGTCATGATCTCAGGTTCCTGGGACCGAGCCCCGCATCAGGCTCCCTGCTCTGTGGGGAGCCTGCTTCTCCCTCTCCTCCTCACTTGTGCTCTCTCTCTCTCACTATCTCATTCTGTCTTTCTCTCTCAAATAAATAAAATCTAAAAAAAACACAAAACACCACTGTCAAATCTTAGATTTATAAAAATTGCTGTTGTTAATTAATTGTGGTCTTTTAAGGCCTCACCACAGGTTATCAATCAGTGCCAATTAACTACCAATTAATTAATTAATAAATTAACTAATTAACAGAGTAATTTCATACACTGTCCTCCTTACCCAGGGATGACAAATATTCTGTTACTACATATTTATGAGATCTGTGAATAATATATAGCTTCATTTTGCATATTTTATGCTTTATCTAAATAACATCTTACTGTCTCTGATCTGCAACTTGCTTTGTTGAAAACTTTTGAGATTTATCTAAGTTGACATATTTAGGTCTGGGTCCTTTATTTCCACTGATGTATAGAATTCTAATTTGTGAATATATCATAATTCATTTATCAATATCTATTAATGGACATTTAGGCTATTATGAAGTTGGAATTTTTTGTTACCTATTATTATTTTAGTATAATCTTGTGTAAACACATATGAACAACCAATCACTGTATTTGATGTAAAATAAAAAAAGTAACAAAATAAAATCTAAACTTCCAGTAAGAACAGGGTAATCCATTTAAATTTCTGTTTCTATGAAATTGTCAGAGTATTTACTTAGACCTATTCTTCTGAAGAAACATAAAACACTTTTACAGTTCAATTTTAAGTGCACTAGGTTCAATTTTTTAAAAAGTGTTAATTGTGAAGTGAGAGACTGTTATCAGGTGCAGTGATCAAGAGGACAGCTTTTAAATCAGATGCCAGTGGGCTCCTGGATCTGCTATTGATTGGCTGAGAGACCTTGGGCAGGGTGTTTAACCTCTTTAAGTCTCAGTTCCTCTGAATAAAAAAGGGGATAACTGTTGAACCCAGTTATAGGGTTATTGTAAATGAGATGTAAATGCATAAAAGCTAAGGGTTGGCATACAGTAAGAAAGCACCAATAAATAGGAAAAAAAAGCCTGCCAACAAATTTGAGAGACTTTATATTTAGACATATATATATATATGAAGACTTATTTACATATAATTTTAAAATTTCATTAATTTAAGCAAGCCATATTTTTACATTAGACTTGGACAATTGTTATTTTTATAACAAAAACTTCTGAGAAATCTTTGAGGTCAATACTATAATTCTCCATATAGATAAGCCCCTGTAAAGTGGGATGTTTTTGTAAACTCAGAAGTGAAACGTTATTAGAATTTGAAAATTCACCCTGGCATGCAGAATTCTAATCCTTCACAACTTGTTTCAAAGTATCACATCGGTGGGAAACAGGAGTCCCTTTCTTCTAACATGGTTAAGGATTTGTGAGTACAAAAATGAGCATTATTTTGTTAACAATGAAACAAGTATTTTTTATTATTAATAAGATACCAAGTATATAAAGAGGGAAACTTTGGAAATCACTGTATGTGGAAATTGGGTTGCATGAAAAATGGTGATGCAGACTTTTAAAGTGCCACCACAGGTTCTCTATTTGGGGTGTCAACATGGTGCTTTTTAACTCCAAAACGCAACTGGGAAAGACTCAGTCATGCTGTGGCCAACCGCGATTCTGCCCAAGAATAAGCATAGTCTACTCTTAACAGAAATGGGTTTGTGTAGCTAAATATTCAATACTTGCTGGAGTTCCAGGACAGGAATGGGTTGGGTCTAAGCCTGTCTTTTTTATGTTAATGAGCTTTCACAACAAAGGTTTATGAATTAACCGAGAGGGAAGTATTCTTGAAGGAAGACATTTATCTCCTTATTGCCTCCTGTGATGGCTTGTTCATAGCTAAGGGAACACCAGGCCTGAACCAAATCTCCAGCTGCCCTATATAGTTTATACAATCTCCTTTTCAATAACACAAAACCAGGGCAGTCCCACTACCAGACCAGTACTTCTTCAGGAATCTTCTCCTACTATGACAGGATAGGACCGTCTGTAATACAAATCAACACTATTATTTTCAAAGTAAGCACTTTAAAAGGTTGCTTGAACAAGAAAAGATGAATTTGCCGGGTTGTACGCTATCTTGGAGTTCAAGTAAGATTACACCTGAATTGCATTGCACTGAATGTTACGTTTTATCCTGATGCGTTTTAAGTTGAACTGGGTAAACAGTGTTATATATTCTAGAAGTGTTAATATGCAAGATGCTGTGATTAGGTATGATTATTTTGTAAAACTACTGCACTTTATTTTTTATTGTTCCTTTGATCTCTAGCAGGTAGTGAAAACGAAATTTGTAACTTAAAATATGTTGTCTTTGATGCAGAAATTAATTTTCATGTTGCAAATTTACTGATTTCTAAAATGTTATAGCTGGATGGTGAAAAAAAAAACTTTAGTCTGCAAAAATGATGCCACTTTCTGTTTCTTTTTCAAATTTTGTCTAAAGCCATTTTATATTTTAAAGTCTTGAATCTTAATTGAAGGTGAGGGACCTATACCCGATGACTTGATACAAACTTTTGAGAAACAGCAGGAAGTTTGAACTCATACAAGGCAGTTGCACTTAAATGATCACAGTTGAATAAGGATTAGTTTTCTTGTTCTACCATTAGCTTTTTTTCTTCTATATAGCATAGGATTGGGGACTACCTTTTTGTTGGTTTGTTTTTTAAAAATATAAATATATATGTATATATATATATATACATATATATTTCCACTCTTACTGTTTGTTTATATTCCACTAATTCCCTACCAATGATTTTCAAAAGGTTTTCTGCTATGTAATTCTAATTTTTATTATGTGTGCTAATTAATTCTGTGGTTCCTTGATGTGATTGAAGACTATCAATAAAGGGGCAATTTCACATATAACCTTCAGTATTTTAAAAAATGGTATACTGTGAAATGCTCCTGAAACCATGTATTTTGACAAGGCCTGCTTCCACTTAAACATGTATAAAGTCAGCAGGCAAGTTTCTCAATAATCTAACAATCAGTTATTTCACCTGTCATCTCACATCAAGCCATAATTTTCCTATGGTAGTATTTAACTTACCTGACTCTAGCCACTGTTTATGTATTTCTGTAGCTTGTAAAACATCTAGTTATCGCTCTATTTTAGCTTGTTCGTTCTAATGATTTATTTTCATTTTCTTTAGGATGCAGATCTGCCGCTAACTGGATTTGATTTATAAGAGAGAACTCTACAGTTAATGGCCACTCTTGTCATGTTGCTACTGTGGAAAACAGAATGGTCGATAGGATATGGTTTGATAAATAGTGATGATTGAAGATGCTACTTCAATCCATGTGAAATCAATGGGAGATACTGGCTGCATAAAGAGCTTTCTGAGCTTTTCTTGACAAGCTCACCTTGAAGAAGTTGGAGGTGGAGGTGTATTCTACCATTATACTTTCTTTCTCAAGCGGATACAAATACCTTTGCCTCACTGTAACCAGACAACTACACAACTAATGTGGGACCATGGCACTGCCCAGATGCATGTGGCCAAATTATGTTTGGAGAGCAGTAATGGCATGCTTGGTACACAGGGGATTGGGTGCCTCATTGACTCTCTGCGTGTTGGGATGTTTACTTCAGGCTGCCCATGTGCTTTCACAAAAATTGGATGATGCAGACCCACTGGTGACTACCAACTTCGGCAAGATAAGGGGGATTAAGAAAGAACTCAATAATGAAATTTTGGGGCCTGTTATTCAATTTCTTGGAGTTCCATATGCAGCCCCACCCACAGGGGAACATCGTTTTCAGCCTCCAGAACCACCATCTCCGTGGTCAGATATCAGGAATGCGACTCAGTTTGCTCCCGTGTGTCCCCAGAATATCATTGATGGCAGATTGCCAGAAGTCATGCTTCCTGTGTGGTTTACTAATAACTTGGATGTGGTTTCATCATACGTACAAGACCAGAGTGAAGATTGCCTATATTTAAACATATACGTTCCAACTGAGGATGGTGAGTTTACTGCAGGAAAAGCAGGGAGATAAATTTATATATTTTTTTCTATTCTAAGTTCTAACAATATTAATTCATGTGTACTGGTAGCATGCATGGCTTTTCCTGTTGGCATGTAGACATATTTTACATGCTTGCATGCCGCTCTTTTTGTTTATGTGTGTTAGTGTATCTGTTCTTATTTTTTTCCTGTGCCTACTTATTTCCTTTCCTCCACAGCACGTATATTTAGGTAGAAATGGGTTCCTAATTTCCATTTCCTACAGAATGACTTCTGAGAAGATGCATCAACATGTCTCCATTGCATGTGCAGGCTCAACGAATTGGGGATCTTTCGCACTCAGTAAATGCAGGAGCATATTAAGTTAGATAGTGGTGTTGCATGTTCCGGCGGTCTGTGATGGAGCGCCATGTTATTTTCTAGTCTTTTATTCATTTTTCAGTAAAAAGAATATCCAAGGAATGTGCCAGGAAACCCGGCAAGAAAATATGTAGAAAAGGAGGTATGTATAAAAGTGGAAATAAAAAATGGGGGAAAAAGCTTGCAGAGGAAGAAGATATTCTCCCTAAGGACGATTTGTTGGTGCTGGGAAGTAAATGGTTAGGTGATATCTGGAATTTAATGAAGCGTGCCAAGGAATAGAAAGATGATCAAGGAGAGCTGAGTAGATAATATTGACAAAGCTCATTGGTGGTGCCTTGTGTTCTGGCTCTGGTAGCATCGATAGGAATTGAATCTCTGCTCTGAGTTTGTGTTTAGAGGAAAAGATACTTAGGCTATGACATTGCCTGCAAGGAACCCAAATGATGCTGCCTTGCCAACTGGTTGACTTTTTCTCTGAACCCTGTCCTCCAGATACAGATTTCTGTTCTTCTTAAAACTGATCAGTTCAGTCACAAACCTAGTTTTTTGCTTGTTTATTCTTAGCTACTTCTGAATGCCCATGAACTTTCTCCTATCAGGATAAAATTGCCATAACTGTTGGGCAATTATCATTATTAAGTAATGGTATTTTTTTCCCCAGATAGTCTATATTTTCTGTTACTCTTCCAGAAAAGAATGAGATTTTGCAGATTTTTATACTAAATATTTACAGTCTTAAAATTACTTTAACATTTTTGTATTTATGTTAAACAATTTAAAACATAGGGAAAAACATGATTCAGAAGCTACAATTAAATCAACCTTCAAATCATCCTCTAGCCAGATTGAGTAAATGTAGACACTGACAGCTGCAAGCTTGCATCTGAATGTAGCTTGTCCACACTCCATTTTTATATAACATCCAGTAAATCACTCATAGGAGAGTATGATTTTCTAGGGCAGTAAATCATCTAAGTGTTATTTTGACCTTATTCATAGCTTTGCAGAATTTCCAATCTTCATACAGAAGTTATATTAATATTCTAGTGCTATACATTCTATCTCTCTATGCACTTCTATGCTGGCTGGACCAAGTCAGATTCCATTACAACATCCTTGTGGGGCAGGGAGTGTCTAAACTGTTCTGTTTTACAAGGATTGCATTATATGGAAGAGCTTCATATAATAAAATTCTCAACTGCCGATCAGAGTATTTGCATTAAATTGAGTTTTGTTTTGTTTTGTTTTTGTTTTTATTTCTTTGGTCATACTAGTAGAATGGGATTTGACCTTTATTGTATTATTGATGCCACGATTTGGGTTAAAAGCACAGTATACTTGAGAAGGTGGATATAGAGAGCACAAAGTGTTTTAAACAACTAAAACAAAGTCTCTTGTTTTTCCCCAAATGAGAATAACTGCAGTAATTTACATGCCTTCAACTAATGTACAATACTGCAGTGGTTATTATTATGCAGCTTATCAAGCATGTGTAATTAGCTAAGTGACTTTCACCTCCTATCACAAAGATGTTGATTCACAAAGTCATAAATAAAGATGCTATTGAAGAATGTATAAATAGAGCATAATACATGAAAATATGTACAATCAAGAAAATGATAAGGATACTGAAAAGGTAAGCTAGTAAGTGAGAAAGTGACCTTTCTTCTCATGCAACTTCAGGGGGGAATAGATTCATTAGAAAATTATTTTTTTTGTTCTTTGGATTATTGGTTCCATCGGCTGCATGAGAGAGTTGGCAAAGAGGTGTGTAAGCCTGTGTTAAGGCAAAGGTGTGTGTAAGCAATTTACTTTGGCAAACTTTGAACTAATTTCTCATTAGCCTGAGGATAAAATCTGTAGTTACTTACTTCAGTCTGTGTGGCTTATAGTCCAAATCTATTGTGTTTTTATGTTAAGCAGTTTAAAAAATTATTTTGTGTTGGTATTTAATATATCCTACTATTGTTAAATAAGTTTTGTTCAATTATTAGCTGTTTGTATGTTACCCCAAAGTCTAAATAACAAAGATTTTAAATGTAGTTTTCTATATAATAACCTTTTTTAAACTAAACAAAACTAAAGTTTAGAGCTTGACGTTAAGCAGAGGAGTAGAATTTTTTTTTCCAAACTTTTAACTTTTTTTCCTTCTTTATCATGGAGAGTCTCTTTTGGTCATTTCAAGAAATCATATTATTCTGGTTCAAGAAAATATTAGTCACTTCATATCTACACATATACCAATATATATTGCATATGGATCATAAATTCTCCAACAGAATTCTAGAAGTTTATAAATGATGGTTCAGGAACTATAGGAATAGGTGTGTTGCATTTTATAGGCATATACCAATATATATGGCATATGGATCATAAATTCTCCAACAGAATTCTAGAAGTTTATAAATGATGGTTCAGGAACTATAGGAATAGGTGTGTTGCATTTTATAGGTGTTAAAGATATTTTCGTTTGTTATTATTTATGTTTTTTTAATTATGTAAGGTCACCTTCTAAGGCAGATGGATCCCCATCCCTGTGCCAAGTACACTATAATCTGTGCATACTGTATTAATCCAAAACTATTTCTTAACTGCCTTAATCATGTACTCTTCAAGGGAGTCAGTAATGAATGAAACAAAGATCTTTCTTCCCATAGAACTTACTGCACTTAAGTAAGTTTAAAAAGAACAAAGCATTTTCTCCACTTTATATAACAGGAAGAAAATCTTTTACTTCCTCAAAAGATGCCTTGCTATAGTTTTTTCTTAAATATTTATTTATTTATTTGAGAAAGAGAGAGAGAACATGAGTGGGAGGAGCAGAGGGAGAGGGAGAGAGAGAATCTCAAACATACTCCACGCCCAGTGCGGAGCCTGTCAAGGAGCCCAAAATGGAGCCCTAGGTGGAGCTTGACTCATGACCCTGAGATCACAACCCTCAGATCACAACCTGAGCCTAAACCAAGAGTCTGACGCTTAACCGACTGCACCACCCAGGCTATAGTTTTTAAATAGAGCTTTTATAATATTTTCCTGTGCAGTTGAAGAAAAAAAAAATTTTATCAATAGGCTTCCTCTCATTTAAAGCAAGTCCCAGTTGCACTTTTCAATCTATCTTTTTATATTTCCCATGATAGTTTTAGCCATACGTTAATTACTCTCTAGATATTTCTTCAGGGTTTTATTCTTGCAAAATTGAAAGATGAGTGCTTAAAATGGGATGACTGTCAACACTGGGCCAAATAGGCAGATAACATGCAACAGAAACTGGAATTTGGATGTAGAAAAGATATTACTATCTTTATTTTAAAAATAAGGAAGTAGGTTCTGAGGTTAAGTGTTCTGACCCAATTTCTATTGCTAGTAAGTGGTGGTTAGGTTTGGCCCTAGTTCTTGCTAATATTAGATGCATTTCCATTATGTTAAATTACCTCTTCCAGAGATTTCTATAGCAGAGGCTCATATCTCTCTACCTTCTTGATCTCCCTTTCTTTTTTTTTCCTTTCAAATATATTATGAATTCTTTTTATTCTACCGGTTGACTCTATTTTAGATTAATTTAATGCTCACTTTAATTGAATTGGATTAAGTCCATGATAGTAACTGATTTCCAGAAAACATGCTAGTACCTATTTTAGTGAATATTCTTAAATCCTGTGCATAATTTTCTTATTGTCTAGACCAAGATCCCAACATATTTCTCTTGGCTACTATCAGGAATAGCTTTAATTTGCTTATGTTTCATTTTGTTTCTCTAGTTTACTGTCTTGTGAGAGTTGCCAACAAACAGAAGAGTGGTCAAATATTAGGCAGTAAACATGAGAAGGAGGAACAAGGGACCCAGAGAATCCACAAACAAATTGATTGGCTCATGGATACCCTAGAGTTGTGTAACTTTGTATTTCTCCAGCACTTTGACTATTATTTGCAAAGCTCTTCTGAGAGGAATACAGAATCGATTTTCATTTCTTCGGTGGTGAGAAATTGTTAACCCACTTTTCTCATTTACCCCAATTTTTAATGTACAGAAAATTGGAATCTTAATAGATGGCTCTTGCATAATTTTTTACTCCTTGAGTATTTTATTCCCTGATTTTCGTAAGTATTTTACTTTTACATTCTCTGTTTAGTAGTCATTATCTGAGATAATATAGAATTCATTCAAAAGCCTTTTCCACAAATTTAGGGTCTATTTGGTTGTTTGTTGAACATAAATACTGATTTTTCCCTAATTAATTATGTGTAACAATACTCTTTTCACTATTAATGTGTTTAAAAGGAGATCATATTCCAGAATGCTTGTCCTTCTCGCTTACATATTTTTAACTAATTTATTCATCTAACAAATATTTACTGAGTCTTTACTCTGTGCTGATGAGATTACTGCTCTAGAACCCAGAGATACAACAGTGAAAAGAAAACAAAAAGTCCTTGACATCCTGGAGCTTACATCTAGTGTGTGGAGACAAATTGTAGACAATAAACACAATCAACAGCTAAAGTTAAAAAATATAAGAAGATAAGAAATCAACAGAGTATGGCAAATCAAGAGTGCTGATGTGAAGGATGAAGGTAATTTTAAATAAGATACTTAGCATAGTCCTCATTCCAACACATACCTGAAGAAGATGAAGTG